ATGGGGATCGTAGTCAGATATTCTGTAATTATGAACTGGACCGCAAATTGACATTGTTTATAAAATGTGGCGCGGATTATAACCGGGGTTAGAAGCTGCATTATAAGTTGTAATGGGTTAGAAGTTGAATCGAAGGCCACAATTTGGATTAGAATTAAAACGTCAGACGACTTTTCTGTTGTAAATAAATCGTAGAACAATTAGGACAAAACTCGATATGTAATTGAAATCCTATATCGAATTTGGGGATATGGGTCCGCCCGTATACATCAGGGATATGCATTCTAATGAAGGCGACTTCTGACGTGAAAACAAATGTTGAAAGCATTCGAGCATTCTGTAATTTGATTTTCATTGTCTTCAGATGCCTTCATTTATGTTTCGAACCTGACGTTGATTTATTACCTATCGCTTTCTGACTGATATAATAAACAGTAGAAATACTACACTGCATGTAGTCATTGGTGGGAAATTAGATCAACAGATGGAGAATTCTGCATATTCACTGCTCTAGTGAATTTCCCCAAAATGTAGAACACATTAAAATATTTTAAATTCAAGTGTGTTTTCCCGGTCTAGAAAACCGAGATTAACGGCCATGGGAACCCGTTGCACTGACCACGCGACGCCCTCTATCTGCAAAAGTTGGCATTAACTTTACCGACAAACGGCGGTCGCTCGGTCGGTATAGTTCGCTTGCGGACTAAAGGCAGCGGAGTAAGTAAAGTGTGCTTTTGGGCGGGGCACAGTGAACAATTGTTGAGAAATGTGATAACATTTTATTCAATCTTAATTGAAATTGGGGGTTACAATGATCGATTAAATGAGTACTAAATTCGTACAGCGTTCAGTATATGTTTGGTTGTGAATTTATTTAATTTATGTTATTAGCTTCTCTGGCTCAGTTAGAGAACAGTACCTGGCTTTTGTATACACGATAATGAACGGTGGTTTCTATAAAAGGTAGGAAAGGTACGAAATCTGAAAGAAAACCTTATTCCACAAGGGGTCGGAGATTAGTCTCCTAAATACAAGGCAGTTCCACTGCCAAACCAACATGGGAAACTCTTCAGAAAAGATAACGAAATTTCATAATTATAAATGCCTATGTTGGATTTGAAACAGGACAATATGGGAACGGAGTGTTAAACATGCACGTTTTTCATTGTCTTTGAGGTTCTTCTTTATTCTCGTTTCAGATTTTCATCACCAAAATTCAACTAAAGTTTGAGAACAGTGATTCATAAATATCATCGTTCATTCTTTTTCCATTCCAGATTCTCCGATATTTTCTAACTTACACTTGGGAAGGCGGTAGCGTAGTTAGTTGAGGTACTATGCTACAGCTACAAGCCGGAAGGTCGCAGGCTCGAGTCCCGGTAAGGCAGATTTCTTTCCAATTTACCTAATCCTTCCAGCCTTATTATGGCCCTGGGGTCGACTCAACGTCTAACTGAAATGAGTACAAGGAATCTTCCTAGAAGTTACAGGGCGGCCGGCGATTAAGGCAGACAGTCTTACCGCCGTCTGTAAGCCGACTGAGAACCTTGACCTCTCACAACTCTATGGGCCTTCACGGCCTGTGACAGGGATAGATTTTACAGTTACGTTTGGTATTTTTTTTATTGCTAGTGGGGTTGGACTAAGTCCCTTGTACTGCAGCCACTTCTGGCCTATTGTACCAGCCCCAGATGATAGGTGAGGGTGATTATGGAACAATTAGTGGAATGAAGATTGGCAGGGGAAACCGAAGTATTCGGAGAAAACCTACCCCCGACTGCACTTTTTCCACCACAACTCCCACTTGACTAGACCCGTGATCGAACCCGGGCCGCCGCGGTTGGAAGCCAGCGACTAACCGCTTGAGCTATGGCGCGGCCTCAACTGAAGTAACTGAGGAAGAAGGTAGGATTCTGCTCCGACCTTTGTTATTGTAGGACAACCCCAAAGTGACAGACATCCATGTTCCAGAGTAATTTGAACGCTCTAATGCAGGCCTCGTTTTATGATCACGAAGGACGTCAGTAATACCGCGCATTTCTATTTTATGGCGAGACCAAATTCCGTGGAGCGGAAGGCGTCGTTGAAGCAAAACGATCGACAACAGTGCCGTCCATTCAGTCTCATGATAAAATGAACTTGAAAGAGAACTTTCTGTATTTATATTCAGGTTGATGCTCTCCGAATTATCTCTACGCATATTTCAAATGCACTGTATTAGAACATGGACGTCATGAATATACGGAAATATGTTCATTGATGTTAATGTTCACTTGCTCTAGATATTTTTCTAATGGAATTAATCAGTAGATCTGCTTCTACATACCCTCATAACACTAGGCGTATGGTAGAGTCGGAAGATGCAGTACCTCGAAAGCAAACGCTTGCCGCTAGACGTGGGATTTATGGTGGACAAAATTGCACTGGGTCGGATTTTCTTCGTGTACTTATTTTCCCCAGCCAATTCTCATTCTCACATAACGATAAGAGTGAAATGGAGCGCTTTAATGTTGGATTCAACGTTATGTCGTGTAAACAGAAGCTGTGGACAAATGTTCTGCATCCTCACTATTCAGAGTACTTCGAAAATTTTAAATTCCGTTTGTACCATTAAATATGGCTTCTGGTGACTCTAATAAATACCGTTATGAAGAAAGCAGTCTTCTGGGATGTGGCACCATGTAGATGTGGTGTTAACCGACGTTTCGGATGAACATATCGCCTCCATCTTCAGGGTAAAAGGAACAATAAGAAATCCGGAAGCGAAGAGACCGTGAGAACCGGTGCCACATCCCAGAAGACTGCTTTCTTCATAGTCACCGCCGTGAAAACCTCAAATCTTACAAATACCGTTATGTTTCTAACGTGATCGTTAAGTGTGAAGGTTTCCTTGTTCCTAATGAGAAGATCATTCCCAAAAGTCACTCAACATGTTCCTGACAAACTTGTTTCATTTGCCGCAGTGAACTTTGTCCGGGGATTAAATGGCTTCACGACTAGTGTGATAAGCCTTGAAATGCAAACTATTAAAGGTCCTGCAAAAAAACCGTACTGAGATTCCAGGACATTGGTTTTCTTTTCAGTAATGTCCAAGAACCGTTACCCAATGTTACCGCAACCATCTCTAACGTTTTATTAGTGCTAATGCTCCTTGGTTTTCCACTTTTCAGCGCTGCTGATGAAACAGTGTCATAAAATGTCTTTATTATATCATAAACGATAGAAGGGAAAAGGGATTAAGTTTTCATAGTGTTCTTCTCGTTGTCTTGTTCTTTCAGCAGACTTTGAGACGAAAAATTCCCCATTCGAGGCTTAGTTCAACAAGACTACGCGTTCAGAGCACAAGAAACACCAACAACTGGAGCTGGAAATAACTAACCAAAATTGCACGTTGTAATACCGTCGAGCGCAACCAGACACCTGGCGTTCTCTACCGTCAGCCAAGGACGCAAAACCGCTTTTTCATGCGGTAACGGCCTCAATCCCCCCCCGGAGCTGGGCATTACCATGGAAACTGACAAACCGTCTTAAAACTGTAGTGCTCCTTTTACACTGCTCTGAATATCTGTTTTCTATTATATAAACTCCTTCCTTCCTTCCTCATGTTCCTTTTTAATGTCTTCTGTGTTTTGTATGCTTGCTAAGATATCATATAAGGTATATAAAGCGTAAAGCCATCTGTGTCCGCAGTCGTTTTGTTTCTGGGCAGCCAAGACTCCTTAATGCATAACGCGATTTTTTGGTATTCGCAGTATTTATCACGATGTGGCGTCACTACGATGGTAGTACGGGCGCACGATGATACATCCTTCCGTTTTCAGGATATGAATTTAATGACAGTGAGAATATTTCAGTGTTTGGATTTTGCTGTACACCAGCTTTTATAACAGTTAAGGAGTTTTTTTTTTTTTTTGTGAGGTTTTAAAGATGTGTGTAGAGGTTTGATCTAATGTAATAAACAGACATGGAATTTCAGATATATACAAACAAACAAACAACATGGCTTTAGTCCGCAAGCGAACTATACCCACCGAGCGACCGCTGCTTATCGGCGAAGTTAGTGCCAACTTTAGCGGATAGAGGGTGTCGTGTGGTCAGGACAACGAATTCCAACGGCCGTTAATTTCGGTTTTCTAGACCGGAGCCTCTACTTCTCCATTCAAGTAGCTCCTCAATTATCATCAAGAGGCTGAGTAGACCCCATTCCAGACCCACTACTTCTCAGGAAATCGAACCCGGAACCTCTGGATCTGTAGCCAGGAACTCTGGCCACTAGGCCACATAGGCTGTCTTCATTATTGCAGTAAGTATAGTGCAGTTAAAGAATTTATGAACTGGAAGCGGTCCGCGGACCATCAATTGAAGAACACTGTTGTAGCTTATCTGATATTTGAGCATTAAACTTACCAGCCTTTTCATTCTTAATATTGTATTTTAGCATCTTCTCCTGTCTATAATGCAGTAATATCAGTGTAGATTCAGATGACACTAATGCACATTTAATTCACTAAAATGTTCGTTAAAATGTTTAAAATGTCATTAAAATATATGTATACATTCTGTGTTTATGCGGTACATGTTTCGGCCAGACAGAGTCATTTTGAGGCAACACATTTTTGCTCTGTGCACTTTGTCAGTAGTACCCTGAAAGTACATCGTTATTATTATTAATTTTGATGTTATAGGATGTTTGTTCTTCCTATCTTTTGCACTGCTGCCGCTCTGTGCCTTTTTGGTGCATTCTTGTCATGCAAGTAAATTTCTGTGTTTCTTAAAAATGGTGAATTTTTGACTAGGTGAGAAGTATCAAATTATCAAAGAGAGACCCTGTACCATGGATTTGGTTGGTTTGTTGGTTCTTACCTTGTTGGTGGGTTAATTGATTAATGCATTTAAGAATTTAACGTATTTTAAATTTCTTTCGTACAATTCGAGTTTTCCCACAGCAATCCCAAAAGTGCTTTTGTCTGACACCCGTTTATATCCTTCCTTGTTTCCAGGTTGGGGACTCCGTAGTGGATACCGCTCAGCAAGGAAGGGCAGCCTACGGGAGGATAACTGAGGTGAGTGGTTCAGCAAAACGTACCAAGCTATCCCTATCCTACCTTTTCCCTTAAAGTTCGCAGGGAGCATAACAACGTAGTGTTTGAGGGTCGATGGATTTTTGTTTGCGATTTAACATTTCTGATTGGGCCATTTATTACAGTTACAAATCAGTTGCTAAGGATGTTAAGCAACAGCATGAATGCTGCTACACCGCATGGAGGCGCATATTTTTAGTATTTTCTTTTCACACAATCTCAAAGACGTTCTCGGGATATGTGATAACATTTGATTACAGTTCATGTAAACAGGTGATTGTAGGTGACCGATAAGTTAAAATGTGGAAGACCCATTGTCGGCTGTCCTGAGACTGCTTATTCAACGTATCCGCAACTGCCTTCCACATTTGAAATCCTGTTTTATCCATCCGTAACTTGAGGACACTTGACGCCATGGTGACATGGCAGGCGTTGGCATTGACCGATCAGACAGGAATGCAGAATAAGAAGAGAAAAACTAAAGAAGGAAGGAAATAAAGGAAGAAAGAACGTAAAGAAAGGAAGACAGAAGAAAAAAAATAAAGAGCGATGTGAAGACTTACAAAACAAACAAGACTAGACGGAACAGCGAATGATTCAACCTGAAAGTCACGATCTGAAAAAGATTGCGGTGGTTGGGGTCTGAATATAACCCCCATCAGTGCTGTCCTATTGTTCCATTATCGGACCGTACCTAACCACTTTCAAATTCAAATACCCCCGAACCTTGCATTGCCGAAACTCCGCTTGTCCTTTCCATCATAGCTGGTTCCAACAGAATGACTTGCAAATCCCGTCGTTGTGCCTCTGAAGATTAGGCAATCAACATCCCGCGCAACAGTGGTTTATGTCATTGATGGACCTGTGAAATAGCGGTGGGTTTTCCTAAGGTCCAGTAGGCTACATTATACAGTACAAATAATAGTCTACGCACGTAATTACTGCTAGCACGTCTAAATATGTTAATTTGCTATATGAAAATTAACGCCTTTATGTGGCATTAAAACCGAAGGTATGGTATAATCAGCTTCACTGGATACACGCATTAAAAAAAAAAGATACGCTGAAAGATGTCAGAAATTGCCGATATATTGAAGTTGCATATAATCGAAAGAAACATAATCATAATTGACCTATATCTATTCATAAAATGAAGTAATGTTCAAACACTAATCGTTAAGTCGCCGAAAGAGATTGAAAACGGTTTTAAGCTGTAATATACATATAATATACAGAGTGATTCTAAATTATTGCCGAGGTTTCCGTGTCTTATAAACGGAAATCCCGACAATAATTTAAAATCACTCTGTATATTTAATATTTTTTATATGCGATGTGGTATATAACGTCATATAAAATTGGTGATCGATATAAATTAAGCCTCAAACCAACAACTATCAGCGCATCACCTATTGGAAACACCTGTCCATGTTACTGTGATGACGCATNCAATCCTTTCAAGTCTAACTAATCGTTAAGTCGCCGAAAGAGATTGAAAACGGTTTTAAGCTGTAATATACATATAATATACAGAGTGATTCTAAATTATTGCCGAGGTTTCCGTGTCTTATAAACGGAAATCCCGACAATAATTTAAAATCACTCTGTATATTTAATATTTTTTATATGCGATGTGGTATATAACGTCATATAAAATTGGTGATCGATATAAATTAAGCCTCAAACCAACAACTATCAGCGCATCACCTATTGGAAACACCTGTCCATGTTACTGTGATGACGCATAATTGCACGCGCTGCATTTTGGTAGAGATAGTTTTCCTGAAGACGGAAGAACTGAGATAGTTACATAGTTAGGAGGCAGCGCCATAGCTCAAGCGGTTAGTCGCTGGCTTCCCACCGCGGCGGCCCGGGTTCGATCCCGGGTCTGGTCAAGTGGGATTTGTGGTGGACAAAGTGACGCTGGGGCAGGTTTCCTCCGAGTACTTCGTTTCCCCTGCCAATCTTCATTCCATCAATTGCTCCACAATCACCCTCACCTATCATCTGTGGCTGGTACAATAGGCCAGAAGTGGCCGCAGTAGAAGGGGCTTAGTCCCACCCCCCTAGCAATAAAGAATA